AGACTTTGTCTAGAATTTTAGAGAACAATTTGTCAGAGTTCATCCATTATATGCCAGTTGAACTGTGTTCTGTTGCGGCGAAAGAGGATTCAACTTTCCATTGTTTCATGGATGCCTAGTAATTAAGTTAACTTTTTGCTTGAATACCTTCGTAAATGGAGTCTGTGTTTAAAACGATGGATTTGGTTGTTAGGGGACTGCGGGAAATGGTAGCATAGTATGTCTTATTTATCTGGATGCTTGCATTTCGAGCAATATAATCTGAATTAAGAGCCAAAAAAGGTGAAACCAAAAACTCTATTCTATTGCGAGTTTATCTGAATTGAATACATTCTCAACGGATATTCTAAAGCCTAACTCTTTGGAGTTGTGCTTTGTTCAGTTTTGTTTTCTAGTGATATTATTTTGAATGATCTGCTCGGTTTTTTGTCATTTTTTGCTAGCAGTATTCGCCCCGTTTATTAATTTAATATGTGCTTCAGAAGTTGTATTGTTAGAATTTAGAACTTTCATTTTTGAAAAGAATGTAGAGTGAAGCCTTTCCTTTGGATTTGCAGGCTGGTATCACTTCTATGTGATAATTTTTTTTCTTCCATTTTGTGCTGCAGTTGTGACTACTCTCATAGCCATAGATGCCTTAGTTACTATCTGATTCTTGTATAAACCAGGGCTGTGCATAGTTGCTGACAGTGATTTAGCAATTTGATTGAGAAATATTTTTGTACAGATAGTATTTGAGCCTGTTTTTCTAAATGTCAAGAATGTTCGAGTATAGTTAACGCCAACAGTTCTTTAGATGGAAAGTAATGCTAGTGAATTAATCCCTTGTACTTAGCTCTGTTCAATTTCCAGTGTAGGTCTTGGCATGTAAATAACACTGTATTCATTTTTTTGTTGTATTTGTAGGCTTTTGAGGAAGCTGAGCTTCCCAGGCTGAAGGAGGAAAAACCTGGTCTCACTCACACACAATACAAAGACATGATATGGAAGCTGTGGAAGAAATCGCCTGACAATCCCCTCAATCAGGTATAGAACTTAGATTCATCTCCAGTGTCTGTCTCTAAAAGCTATCGTTAATTGACTTTCGTCCCGATGGATTGATCCGTCAATTTATATTGCATACTAAGATTCTAACAAATTTTATTTGGGATTCTTTCTTACTTTAATATCATACTGAATTTTTACTTTTGCATTTGCAGGTTGCTGAGTGATGACAACTACATATTCTCTGTAAGATAGCGGATGGACTTTTCTTTTGAATTGTTTTTAAGGATTGATCCCACTCTCATGTGGCCAACTTTTATGGCTTAACCAAATGTGTGGCATCTGTCCTACTGTATGTGCTTTGTCCACTCAATAAAATTTGAATTACAATAATAGCCCTCTCGTTTCTTATTTATGTTTAGCTTAACTGTATCCCTAGTTATAAGGTCACGAAAAATGCTGCATGTTTTATAACTTGTTATTGTCGGACTCTGTTAAGAGTTGACAGTATAATTGTATAATCAGTGAACGTAGTGTTGCTTTCCTCAGGGGAAAAATAGAAGATGAAGAAAGAAAGTAGAGTCGTGACTAAAAGTGAGAATTTTCCTTTCTTGCATTTTAGGTAGTTATATGTATATATAATCGTAAAGTACAAAGTGATTAGTTGAATTTTAACCTTTGTTGTGCTGCTTGTATGTGAAGGTAGAATGTATTCGTTTTGTAAGTTTGTTATATCTCCGCAAATATAAATGGCCTTCTCTTGGTTGATTATAGATGGCTTCCCCATAATCTT